ACAGAACTACTACTACTAGTTGCCTTGACGAAAGTAGTCATTTTTAATACAATCAAATGCCAAAAGAATGCTGACAGCTGTCAGTTACCTTTTAAAAATAATTAATAATACTGCCGGGACGCTTAAATTATACAAACGAAGATTATTTAAACTTATTTATTATTTATGGAGAATGTGATAAAGTTGTGTCAAGAACCATTTGTGTATTACTAATTATTTTTATATCAAGAATAAGAACCAGTTTTTTTTCAAATCTGGGGTCTCTAATTTTTCAAGTGCCCTTATAAGTTGCCATGAGAATAGTGGCCATTTTTAATACATCCAAATGCCAAAAAATTGCTGACAGCTGTCAGTTACCTTTTAAAATTATTAAAATTCTTGCCCAGACGCTTAAATTATACAAACGAAGGTTATTTAAACTGATTTATTATCTACGAAGAATGTGAAAAAAGCCGTATCAAGAACATGTGACAAATTTGCCATTCAATATCCACAAAAAAAGAAGCTTTCATGTTCTGCTCTTAAACAAATTATAGAAAAATGCAAGAATTTTGAATACGTCTAAATAACAGTGCATGTTCAATTTATAAGGGCAACGAGAAAAATAATAATATAAGTTTAAATAAACTTCGTTTGCATAATTTAAGCGTCCGGGCATTATTATTAATTATTTTCTAAAGGTAACTGGCAGCTGTCAGCATTCTTTTGGCATTTGATTGCATTAAAAATGGCCACTTTTGTCATGGCAACTAAAAATGACAGGATTTAAAATGAGATGCGGCAAAATAACAATATGAAAACATTAACTACACTTTTCGAATAGACAACTTTACACAAACGTACTCTTATTTTTAATAGTGAATAAGATAAATAATCAATAATGGGGGGTTTCCATTTTAAATTATTGATTGATGGCGATTTTCTCAACGTCATTTTGAAACTTATTTTTTTAACACTTTGTATTAATAGTTATAAAAATGATGACAAAATTGCATTAAATTCCCTTTCAACACTAAATGCGACTCAAATTAAGTAGCACAAATTCCCTTATAGGAAAAATGAATAATTATTGGAGTCGCTGCAACTGTCATTTTTTACATAAAATTTCAAACAGTATATCAAAACAGTTACGACTTAAGAATAGGACATTATTATACATAGAATATATTTAGAATTGGGAGTAGAATTTAAAAATGTAATAGTATACAGTGTGTCCAGTATAAAATGATGTACATGGGGATATTGGAAACCGTTAGAGTTACAGGGTGGACCAAATGGGGAAAAAGTTGCGCAATTAAGTGTCTATAAATAATCTATCATCAACTTCTTTAAACTCAGAATAGCAACGGATATACAGAAAACAAAGAAAAAAGTGCGTTTTATAAAATCCTTTATATCTTGTTTATTATAAAATATACAATAACAAAATTTTCAGGGGGGGGGTAAGAAATGAGCGTGAATTTGAAAATAAATTAAAAAATAATCTAGGCCCACTATGTTCAATGAGGCCGACGTCAACTTTTGTTTTCCTTATGGGCGCCATATTGAATGTCTGCAGTTTTAAATTCCCCTTTAAATATGCTCTTCAACCAGGTAACATTACATTTAGGAATGTTTTCCGGGCTTTGAAGCCGTGGTCTATCGGAATTTCTTCCTGACGTTTCGTCCACAACTGCGGTGGACATTTTCAAAG